GGGTTGAATTGACCCTGACGATCGCGAGGGGGGGGGGCGCCCGATGCATGAATGTGTACATAACTAAAGACAAGGAATGAGGACTTGTGTATGCTCTACCCTTTGAGAGAATCAGATTTGAGGGTGGCTGGGCGCATGGCAAGGCCAGACCTGGAGGAAGAACATGCATGCTTGCACTTTCTGATCAGCCATCTCCTTTGGAGATGACTCTAGTCTCCCTTCCCTTGGACATATGTTCGTCAAGCGGGGGAAGCCTTGGGCAAGCCGCAGGTTGACCCTTCCTCTTCGTATGAAAGAAGTGCTCCAGTTACCTGGCAGGTGGTTGGGATTCCGGACCAGTCCGGGTCCCAATGAAAATCCCATGGCGGAGTGATCCGACCGACCTGAGTGCTTCTCTTCTCCTCTTCGGAGCCCAGCAGGCTCCGTGCACCGCACTTAAAATGCTTGAAGGAACCTCATATGAACATAAACGGTAATCGAGAAGGAACAATCTTGCCCTATGAACGGACACACAAGTAAAGATAAGGGAATGAAGGGAGTTACTAGACTCCAAGAAAAACTAGCTCCCCTTTGAAGATGCTCACGAAAAGGAACCGGGCACTATGTATGGAAGTTAAGGGTGAGTGGCACACACTATCCTGAGTGAAAACATGTGAGCAATGGGTAGGAAGCGCTGGGTGCACCTGGGGAAAGGCACTTGTGTTATGTGTGTCCCACCTTGGGGCTTGTGTTTGCATGATGGAGATTCGAGTGTCCTGCCTTTCGGAAGGAAAGGATTGGTTTGCACCGGTCGGTGCGGGATGCGGAATGGTCGTCCTCTTTGAAGTTCACCGGGTTCCATGTGTGGGGGTCGGGCCACCGGGCTGTCAGGCAAGGGTGGGTCTCGTCGGCTTATTAGTAGCATTCTCACCTGAGCGGTCCAAGCATGGCTCGATGATCTTGCCCAGGTGGGGTGTGAAACGTCTTCAGGCGGGGCGGCTGCTTGTCGGCAGACGGCAGGGGGACCACTGCATATGGGGCAAGGAAGGAGCCTCGAAGGCGATTAAAAGCTTCTTATAGCATGGCTTGGAAAAAGTTGATTCTTGTCGGACCGATGGAAGTGAATGCCTGGACGGCCGACTCCAATGGCCTTACCGAGATGTGCGGGGCGATTCCCGAGATTAACGGTGGGTACACGAGCGGCAAGTCGGGATGGGGTATTCTGGTTAAGGAGGAAAGGGCGAATGCCTTGCCGAGACCTGGGTACCGCGCTCGCGACGGTTGAGCTGTGCTTAAGGTATGGGGTAAAGCCCTGTCGATAGTAACAGTGGAGAGACCATTTCCGGGGAAGAGGTCGGTGAGAAGATGACCGACCTGTGTGCGATGTTTGCCTGAGTTTTGCCTTTTGCGCCTCCCTCTGTAAAGTTGCCTGAAGAATGTTGGAAGGGGAACTAAGCTTCTGGTCTATTCTCGACCCCTGTCTAAGTCTGCACGAGTGAGAGAACATGAGGAAGAGGCTGGACATGAGTCGGAAGAGAAAGGAACTAAGAAAAGAAGGAATGCGAACCACGGGTGATCGATTGGGGGTATAGTAGGGCAACGGTACCTGGGAAATGGATAAGGGAGGTTAGGGAGACCCGGATTAGGGGTCTGAAGACAACCCTCATCTAGAAAAAGGAAAAGCAAACCATCTGACCATGAGGGGTCATGTGGTGCTCTCGTGTGAAAAACAGGACAGGCGCCGGGAAAACAAGATGGCGCGATGGTTGTCGCCTCCTGTCTACTCTAGTGGTCCAAAAATGCCTATAGAAGTAAGGGATGGGGTATCTGTTGTTCTCCCGGAAGAAGGGACATGGACCGACCTAGAACCAGCCTATGAAACCGGGAAGAGGAAGGATGGGAAGAGATTGCGGAAGGAGTGGTGGAATCAGTTGGGATGACCATTCTCTTGGAACAGGGTTGACACCTGTTTTGCACGACGCTTGCGGCAGGACAGAACCCGATGTGGCTTTTAGGGGACGCTGAGGCAAGGGCTCGGCAGGCGGGGGAAAGCTTTGCTAACAAGGGATGGGACACGGTCAGCAGTAGGGTCGTGATGGGAGGATGGAAGGAATTTAAACCGCCCGGTGCCCGAATCAACACCTGGGTACCCGAGTTCGTGGCGGACTAGTTTGGGGGTTTTGATCATGTAACAGAGGTAGCCGACACGATGGAGCGAATACACGTGAATTGCACATGGCTGGTAGGGGAATTTTATAGGACGTCCTTGAAATACGGGCCCTTCCACGGCGATAGAGCCCGGGAGGTCCTCATCATTTTGGACATCGAAAGGAATGACCGGCAGGAGGTGGCCCCGGAAACCAGGGAGGCCATAATCCGTCGTAAGGTAGCACCAACACCTTGCTATGTGGATGATGTGTTCAAACTGTTCGAAGTACTGTGGTCCGACTAAGCGCAGGGAAGTTGTGGAGCCAGACAAATACGAAAAAATTGCTAAGATTAGGGAATGGGATGTCTGGCCATTGTAGGGTTCAGCGCGGATTGCGAGCCGGGAGACCAAAAGCGAGCGCGCGATGGCACGAAGAAGGACGTTCCTTGAGGAGCGCCCCTCGGGCATTAACCGCCTAGGGAAGTATCGGGCGGGATAGAGGTTTGCCTGCCAGCAACAGGCGAGGGATGGCACTAGATGGCGGATTGGGTCGGGATCGAGCTTGCGAAAAATATGGTTTATTTGGTGACAAAAGTTGAATGGCGTGCGACTGAGAATGGGGAATGGAACCCGGACCCACGGGGGCACGTGCGGGCAGATGGGCGGTTGTATGTGTCAGAAAACAGGTGAAGGGAGTTCGGAGTTCGGCTGGCATCCGGAGAAGACCCGTTGAGCATGTTTGAGGGGGCATGACAATTAGTTTGGCGAACGGGATTTGAGTTCGCAGATCCGGGGGTTCACGATGTAACGGCATACCTTAGGGTAGCCATGGTCGGGGGTTTCGAGTTGCCTAGTGAAAATGTACGAATGAGGCTGTCGCCCTTCCTGCTGGAAAAACTGGGCAGTCTGGAACTTGTTGGACAAGCAGTAGCCGGCCTCGCAAGCCTGACATATAAAGAAGCGTCAGTACATCGAGAATACTACCGGGCTTTCTTAGAAATGGGACCGTTTAGCGGAGAGCAGAAGTACGAGGTGTTGCGCATCCTGTGTGCTGTGTTTGGTACTAGGCCAAGGGTGCCGGTCGTGGGAAGTGAGGTCCTGTGGGGTGTCGTCCGACGGGAAATAAACTATGGGATGGCGTATGTAGATGATCTGTACCGATTGTACGAGCAGATGGAGGAGGGAATATGTCGGTAATAGGGTCGAAGAGAGGGGAAAGAAATAGAAGAGGAAAAGAAGCACCAGGCTAGGGATCGGGGACTGTTCGGTGGAAAATTGAAGACCAAGTAGAATAAGTAAACTCGCGTGCTGTTTAAAACTGTGCAGGGGACTTCTAGGTCGGAAATGGCGATGAGACGCGCCCGGATGCCGCGACGACCCGTGCACCCGCGGCCATCCACGGAAAACGGAGATGGATGGGAGATGTCGCTCCCAGCAAGCTACATGATTCAAGGATTGGATACCAAGTGGAGAGTCGTGACCTTGGGAAGAGGTCAAGCGTTCATGATGGTGGAATGCTTGTGGGATAGTATGAGAATTAACAGGAGATCGGGGGACGATCTGTACACCGATCTCAGGGTGACGGGGACCATATACCTGCCATAGCTCGGGTGGCACATGTTAGGGATGGAGTTGGCACTAGGGCATGGGTTGTTGTCAATCTTCCAGAGGGCTACTAGAGTACTAAACCGGGTAGACCAGGAAGTGCGAGGAAGAAGGAATGTGGGGTTAAGGACTCGGGTGGAGATAGGAGGTTGGCGAGAGTTTAAGGCCCCAATGACCGGGCTGAGTGTGTCGAGTGCCTCGCTTCATGGTAGACCTGGTATTCGGCAGTCTCAAGAGGGCAAGGGATTTGGTGGACTCGACACTGGTCTGGATCCACCTTTTCTGGTCGCAAACAACGGGCATGTTCTACGACGTGCCGGTCAGACATGGGCCGTTCTGGGGAAATCAGGTCTGGGAACTACTCGAATTACTCGAGATCTTGATATTCGGATTGCCCCACCTGTCGTTCGAAGAATATGAGCCAATAATTATCAGGGAAATAGAAATGGGGGAAAATTACCTTGTTGGGTTGGCTGACCTGTTCGAGGAACCAGATGAGCAGGGCAGGCCTGAGGGACCAGCATGAGAAAACGCGTCAGGAAGAGGTAGGGAAACAAAGGATGGGCACTAAGATAAGTAGGCGGCCGTCAGCAAAAGAGGGGTAGTGGTTGGAGTCCCGGCCGACCCAATGATGCGGCAGAAAGGAACTAGGAAGACCACCGCTCCAAAAGTTCTGAGGCACCTGGATGCCAATAAGCAAAAAGGGTCATACCCGATAGAGAAGCCACAGGGCTCGGGCGCCGCCCTAAGATTCTAAGCTCGGCAGTAAAGAAATACCGAGCGGCGGTGGCAAGGCCGGCGGGAGAAAAACCTGAAGGACACCCTGGGAAAGGAAAGTAAGGACAGTCAGACCAATTAATATAAGACGTAAAAAAATATGGGAATAGGCGGGTTTTAGGGAGGGGACTAGGGCAGTTATGAACAGTCGGCCGCCGTTTCACAAAAAAAAATTACATGTGCAGGCTAGGTAAAGAAATGGCGACGGAAGAAGGGATCGATGATCAGCAGAGCGGACGGAATCAGGGCACGACTGGGAATGGGGAACGAAACGAGGGATCAGCCAGGGATCGAAAGTCAACCAAACTGGAGGGGACCCGAGAAGACGGAAAGGACGCCTCGATTGGAGAAAGCTCGAAGAAAGTTGGGGGTAGCAAAATGGGACCTCAGGAAAACAGGGAAGGGGGAAACAATATGAGAACAAGTCCTCGGGACTCAGACAAAAGTCTTAGATACCAGTCATAAACTGGCAGAGATAGAGAAGCGGACCGCGGAATTTAAGGCAATACTTATCGAGCAGATGATGGTCGGGGATAAGGAGGACCTCCAGGACGCAGGGTCACGCGAGGGACGCAGAGCGGGTCAGGACGAGGCTAGGTATGTGGGGAAGGATGATAGTCACAAAGGAACGCCTAGCAAGAAGGGGAAGGACAAGAGCGACCCCCCGGCGGAAGGAACGGAAAACGCTATGACCCCACCCGCCAATGACGGCGGCACTAGCAGACTACCCGCCACGCCGAAAGTAACAGGGGCGTGTGACGGACTCTGGAGCCTTAGGGAAAGAGTGATAGGATGGTTCAACCCAGAAGGAACACCGAAAACCAGGGAGAAGCAGAGGAAAAGCAAGGAAGGGGAAGGAGCCAGTGCAGCCGGGGAAGCGAATGGCTCCGAAGACAGTCTCAAGAAAGTAGTCGCCACCCTCAATAGGATACTGAACAAGAACCAGGGGTATCTCGCAGATGCAAAAAAGAAACTCACATTCGATGGGGCCAACATTACGGAGTTTCTAATAGACTATGAGAACCTAGCAACCTTACTAAAATGGACGGAAGAGGAAAAAATGGAGCACCTAGGACAGCACGTATCGCTAAGTTTGGGAAGGGACATTATGGCCATCGTCGCCTCCAGTGGATATTGGAAAGAAACCAGGAATGAGATGATGAGGAAATACCTGAAGGCAGAAAAAATGGCAACAGAGGCAGAATTAGCCGCAGTCCAGAGGAAAAACTATGCGACCTACAACGATTTCCTGAGGGCATTTACGTTAGTGGCGCTGCGAATTCCCGGGGTAACGGACCGCATAATGAGTAAATACTTCCTCACGCAGTTCTTCGAGTTTGATAAGGATAAGATTTTGTCAGCATACCAGCAAACCAGTAAGTTCGAATACACGAGAGATGTGGATTTCAGCACCGTAGCCGACCTTGCAGAAAAGACAGTGGTTACCGAGACGCTAGCCCTACTTAAGGAGGGGGAGGTCATAGATCTGACCGGGAAGACAGGGGATAAGGTCAAGAAGGGGATAGAGAGCCTGCACGAACGGGTGCACGGGGTAGATAGCAAGATGGACAGAATGGAAAATGAGCTGTTAGTAATGCAGGCGCAAGTGTCCAGACCCGCCCTCTCGCCCCAAGAGGCCGTGGTTCCGGCAGTTGTAGCAAACTGGGGGTTTGGCAGGAGGGACGCGGCCAACGAACAATGCAAGTATTGCACCATGATCGGGCATTTCGTACGGGTCTGTCCGAGACTCAATCACGATATCGAGCGGCAGAGGTGCAGTAGGTCCCTCAAAGGCGAGATCCTCGGACCCAGGGGGGAGCGTGTTAATTGAAACTCGCCAGGAGGGATGCAGCGAGCCGTCATCCTCCTGAATAACTTAGAGATAGCTGCCGTAGAAGCAGAGCCGATAGCCGAGATTGTCTGGGACCAGCCAAGGGGACGGGGACCACAGACCAATTTTATCCTAGAAGGCAATAGGGTAAATATTACCACCCGCCGGGCCGGGGCAGAAAAGAAGCTCATCCAAGATACAGTAATGGAATAACTCACAGGGACTAGCACGGGCCAGCAAGAGACCGAAGCCGGGGATCAAGAGAAGGTCTATGGGAAGCCAAGGGAGGACGAACCGGTAGATAAGGCTACGGCCGCAAAAAAGAAGTTCAGGTATCAAATTCCGATCCTGACTTCGCCAGAAATCGATGGCACCTTGAGTAAGCTACTGGGTACCATGGTATCGGTGGCTTTTCAGACCATGCTGCAAGCCAGCCCAAGGCTGCTTAAAGGACTCAGGCAGTTGCTAACGCGTAAGCGCGTAGAGGTAGAGGAGGCCCCGGAACTGCAAGAGCAGGACACGGAGGAGGCCGAKGCGCCGCAAGGAGTCTCCAACCTCCAAAGCATTCCAGGGGGCCTGGGAGAGTTGGAGAAAGCCTTTGCGGACATCCGCCTAAGCCTACCGGATCGTGAAGGTGGCGAAGTCATGAGGGCGTCACCTGGAACAAAGCTTAGCTTCCATGCATTACTAGTTGGGAAACTTAAAGTTCAAATCGGAACTCACCACTCTGACGCGTTAGTGGACGACAGAGCAGAAATCACCCTTATACGACGGAATTTCGCAACGGTCACGGGGTGCACGGTAAACAAGGAAGTAGCAGGGAGTATCCGGGGAGTAGGTAGCGAAATTCCTTTCACAGGGTATGTCACCAAATGTGCAGTCAGGGCGGGAATCCAAGAATCCATCTGGTTTTTTCAACGGATGACCGTGATGGAAGAAATGGATCACGACGTAATCCTCGGGAGACCGTGGTGCGCCAATGTGGAAATGATAGGAATGCATCTGCACGACGGCACATACATGGTAGACATAGAGGACCCAGTGACCGGCCGCGGAGAACTCCTCCGACTCCTCGGAACTGGAGGGGACCCTCCGAAGGGCAAATTGGCAACCTGGTCGCCAACATTCGAAGAAAGTGCACGGAAGGGGGCATTCACACAAATGGAAGGAATGAGGGAAAGGGTAGAAATTATGATTGAGGAGGCTTTTAGTAAAAAGGAGTGGATCAAGATGGGCTTGCCCGTAAAGAAGAGGAGGCCAGAGGACGAGTCCCTGGAAGTTATGGTGGCAGAAAAAGAGTCGGAAGTTGAACTTGGGGCCAGCCTGCCCAAACCAAAGGAAGCCCGGAACGAAACGTCGGAGGTAGTGCTTAAAATCCCAGATTTATTACAACTCGTTAAGGCCATCAGGTACCACAAAGTGAGGATGGACCTCGCAGCGCTTGCCTGATTTGAGGATGGGGTTCGAAAGGGCTACTGTCTTAATGGGAAGCTAGTCAGCATCCAGCCCCGCATCTTGGAGGTAGCAAGGCCAATCCTGACCGTTCATTTTTTAGGAGAACGATCCCCGAAGGTAGTGTGCGAAAGTATAAACCCGTAGGCAAGAAGCACAAGCCGGTCTCGATCCTAGTAGAAACGTCAAAGGAAGAGGCCATGGAGAAGGAGGAGGAAATCTTGCGGGTAATAAGGGAGAGGCGAGCAACGGAAGGGTATCGCATATCAGTTGAGGTAGCAGACACCATGAAAATAGGAGTGGAAGGGTTTCTAACAATGGAAGAAACTCAATTGATAAAAAAGGCATGTCAGGAGTTTCATTTAGCTTTCGCTTTCAACGATCATCGGAAAGGGCGATTGGACGCAAAGCTAGTTCCCCCTGTCAGGATCCACACCGTACAGCACGAGTGTTGGAATGATAAAGGGGCCGCCTATGAGTTTGGGTAGCAGCGGAGGTCACCGACCTGCTTAGAGCCAAAATAGATTCTTTCGTGGCTGAACCCACCGCATCTCCCTACGCGAACAAGTGGTTTGTGTTCAGAAAACCCAATAAGGCGCTCAGGTGGGTCCAGGACCTGCAGAAGCTCAATGCGGTAACAATCAGGGACGCAGACTCACTTCCACAGGCCGACTTGTTGGCGGAATCTCATGCGGGGCGGAGTATTTACTCCCTGGTAGATTTGTACTCAGGATATGATCAGTTACCGCTCGATGCGAGGGATAGACCGTACACCGCAATGCACACCCCGGTAGGACAGCTGCAGATGCACGTGACCCCTATGGGCTTCACAAATGCGGTAGTAGAAGCTCAGAGGAGGATGCCCGCCGTCGCAGGAGATATGTTTCCGGAAAAGTGTGAACCATATATAGATGATAATCCCGTAAAAGGCGCAAGGTGCAAGGACGAGACGGAGGTTGAGCCAGGCGTACGAAAGTTTGTTTGGGACCACCTGCAGGATATTAAGGACCTACTCCAGCGCTTCCTCGTTTACAATATTACTGCAAGCGGACCCAAGAGCATCCTGGCCATCTCGGAAGTAACCATACTGGGATTTCATTCGGGAGCTTATGGGAGGAGACCCGACCCAGCGAAGACTGATAAGATCTCTCAGTGGCCGACACCCCTGCGTACCACGACGGAAGTACGAGCCTTCCTAGGGGTGGTTGGGTTCTGGAGGATCTTCATCAAAGGTTTCGCAAAGATAGCAGAACCCATCCGCGCGATGATTAGGGAAGGTGGCACTATGGATTGGACAAAGGACAGGGAAGAGGCAGCCCAGACCCTAAAAGACATTCTGTCATCCGATCAGGTCACATTAGCAACACCCTGTTTCAATGACGAGGTAGGACGACCCTTCATCTTAGAAACAGACGGGGGACCATTGGCAGTGGGAGGAGTATTGATACAGAGAAGCGAGGAGGGCAAAGAAAGACCAATCACATTAGAAAGGAGGATCCTGAATTCAGCAGAACGACGGTATTCGCAGTTCAAGAAGGAGGTGTTAGCAATTCTGCATTGTCTTAAGACCTTCCAGACATACTTGTTCGGGAGGCGATTTATCCTAAGGATCGATCCCACCAACGTTGTCGGAGCCCTAAAGAACTACAAGCCCATAGACCCGACCGTTGGCAGATTGATAGGCTTCATATGGCAATTCGACTATAAGGTCGAGCGAATTCTAGGGCTTTGAAATAGGGCAGATGGGCTAAGCAGGATTTGCATCACGCCAGAAGGAGTAGAGGATGCAGAACCAATTGACGCCTTCCTAGAGTACGAAGGAGGGACCCTTGTCATGGATAATGAGATGGCAGATCCGGCGATTACAATAGGACAGTTGTTGATTCAGACCTTGGAAAAGGGAGCACCTGCAGTAGTGGAAGAACTCAGGGAGGGACCAGTCACCACGGTTAGGCGTAAAGAGGAAAAAGACTCGTGGGGAACAGAAGTAGGGGCCAGAGAGGAACTGATGACAATGACCGTGGAGGGGGGATGGGATGCCGTGATGACGCTGGCCGAAACCTGGGCGCAGAAGGAGTGTCAGTATCTAGTTAACCTCACTCGGGAGGAGCAGGGTACGGATCAGAAGAAACATTAGTTCTTCCTCATACAGATGTACGAGGGCGTCTTCAAAGAAATCGGTCTGCTACTTGTAGGGAACAAACAACCCACGGAAGTCAGTCCCAAGGCAAGGAAGGAAGTCGAAAAGTATGCCCTAAGAAATGGCCACCTGTTCAAGAAAGAGGAAGGGATGATACCTAGGCGTGTTGTTTGTGGGAGGTCTAGGCAGCTGGACGTAATCCAGGCAATGCATGACGGGCTAGCTGGAGGTCACCGGTCGTCCAAGGGGACACTTGCAAAGATCGTGCCCCTGTACTTTTGGTCAGGGATGGCAGGCATGGTCGCAACGTATTGTCAAATGTGTCTGATATGTCAGGAAAGGAACTCCGTACGAGTTTACGAGCCCCTTAGACCCACCCGGTTACTGGGCCCCGGACACCTTGTTCACCTCGACCTTGCCGTTATGCCCGTATCAACGGATGGGTTTAGATACATCTTGGATGCAAGGGATAATCGCAGTGGCTATGTGGAAGTCATAGCCCTCAAGAAGAAAATGGGGAAAGCGGTGGCCGAGTGAGTGGAAGATTTCTACCTAAGGCACCCCTTCGTGCGTAGGTTTATAGCAGACAATGGGACAAAATTCGTTAACCAGGAAGTGTTGAACAGGCTTAAGACACTGTGTGTACCGATCAAGATCATCGAACCCTACCATCCTGAGGCAAATGCACCAGTAGAAAGGGGTCACCGGACTTTGAAGAACACAATCGCAAAGTTGGCAGCAGATAATTTGGTAAGTTGGCCACGGTTTCTCAAGCAGGCAGTCTTCGCCGAGAACATGACTCCAAAAAGAACAACAGGATGTATTCCAACAGAACTCTAGTATGAAAGGGAGATCGATTTTCCGATAGAAGCTTTGGTCCCTACCTGGAACAGTCTAGATGACGATCCACACTTGAGCACGGAAGAGTTAATCACTGCACGTTGTCAGCGGGTGGCCCGGAATGAGGAGGCACTCGAGAAAGTAGTCAATCGTATGATGGACAGCCGAATGAGGGATAAAGCAAGATGGGACCAGGTAAAGAACATTCGGAAGGAACCACTCCAGGTGGGGGAAAAGATGCTAGGAACTCAGCTCTTGAAAGCACATGGTCCGGGCAGCTGGGAAAAAGATTCAAAGGGTCTTACAGGATCGCCAAGCAGGTGGGATTGAGCACATTTGAGCTTGAGGATCTCGATGGTACTAGCATAAGAGGGTCATTTCCGGGACAGAGACTGGGCAGATTTTTGGGCAGGGATCTGGTGGAACAGGGGCTACAGGAGGCTCAGGACAGGGAAACAGGGGAAGTCACATCTTGAAAGGTAGACAATTGGCTATGACCCTGGACCGCCTCCCTATGGAAGTAATCATGACCACAAGGGTTGTTCTTTCGTGTGACTTGAATTTATGTGGAACGTGGGGAAACTGCCTGGGCTGACTGTGACTGGGTCTAGGAGCACGGGACAGTGTACTATAGTTTTCGTGGGGTAACGCTGGGGACTGTTTACACGAGGTATTTATGTACCGGGATAATGTATCATAGTTTTTGTGGGGTGATGATGTGGACTGCCTACATGGGGCACCTATGTGAGGGGACAATGTTTAGAGGATTCGAAGGGATAATGGGGTTACCAACTATATGGGGGCAAGCAAGAGTTCTAGGGAAACCTCCAAAGCTGCAAATGGGAGTGGAAGGGAATGCGTGTATATGAGGGGTGATGGGGATTATTATGCATGAACAGGACCAGGCAAGGAGCAAATACCAAACGGCGAAATGAAATTCAGAAATGAAAATGACGGCAACGGCCTATTGAGGGACAGTCATCAAGGCAGGCTGGGGAATCAAGTTCCAGAAAGACGAAGTTATATGTGGGATTTGACCACAACCTGATCGTAAACAGAGGGGGCAAGAAACAAGGGACCAGAGGGCCGTCACCACTGAAGGAAGGGGAGCCAATAGAGTTGTCTTCAGACAGTGATCCTAGCAGCAACGAAGAGGGGAATCCAGAGGAGGGACAACGGCCTGGGGAGAATGAGCCCGTTGAGTTCATTGACCTCACTAACGACGAGGAGGAGGACGAGGTAACAACGCCCACAAGAGAAGAACGAGGAAGAGGGGAGCAGCCGGGAGAGAAAAAGGATAAATGGATAGAAGAGTTCGGGTATGAGTTCAGTGATTGGTTCGATCAATGGGGCACCATCTTGCGATACCAGTGGATCATGAAGGCAAGGGAAAAGTTGGGCAGGGGAGAGGATCTAGCCCCAACAACCTTCTTCACAGAACAAACACTCCTCCAGTTTCAAAGAACAAAGAGGCAAATGGAGCAGGAAGGGGAGAATCGTGTAAGGAGGGAGGCTCGGCGCAGGGCACCGGGACAGTAAAAGGGAACAGCAGGCATGATGAGAATAGATGGAATCGGGGAAGGGGTGGTAACCAAGCAGCAAGAACTGCCATTTTTCCTTTTGTGCAGTTGAACTTCTTCCTGGATGAACTATGATGAGACAGCTGCTAAGCTCGAAGCAGTTAAGGACTGGGTGACGAATGCTACTTTATATAAGTCGTTGCTTTTTCGGGAACGGGCATGAGAGTTTTTTGCACTTAGAATAGAACTGTGGATGGTTGGGATGGCTAAGGGAAAGTAAGGGGAAAACAGAGAAGAACTAGATGAGACGAGTCTGTAATGTTGTCTTGCATTCGGATTTTGTCTCCTCGTTTTCTTTTTGGAAAGACTGCGACTTTTTGGATTGAAGAAACTAGTAGGGGGTGGGTGACCGATGCTACTTTGTATAAGTATCTGCTTCTTTTGGGAAACATTAGCATTTTGTAGTAAGAAAGAGACTCGGGGTAATTGACTTTGTCTCAAGGAAATGGGCAGGGTCATGTGAACTCTTGCACGTTAGAAGAAACATTCAGGGCAAAAGTCTTTTTTTTTTTGAGTTGTGCATCCATGATTGAATGAGTCGTGTCATGAGTCCTTGTGAGAGGTTAGGGAACCTATCGGGAAAGAGATATTCTCTTCCCTAGGAGCCTAATCCAACCTACCCCGGGCAATCCCAGAGCGTTTAGAAGCATATGAGAAGTTAGAAAAGTGGCAAGGAAACATTGAAATGATGCAACACCCCTTGCAATGGTTGAACGGCCGGGCGGGCTAGTGCTGCTTGGGGCCGCGAGCCTCAACTTGAGTACTAGACGCCAAGTCGGATGTATGGATGGATGTAAGAATGACAAAAGATGCGAGGAAAAGGAAGAAGCATGCGTAAAAACCCAAGACGATGGCCGCCCTCTAACCCCCGAGACAAGATAGGATCCGTGTCCTCGAGGCCCACCCCCTCGGGCGCTAACATGGCAATGGACAAGGATGACCCTAACCAGGCTGTTCAATTGAAATGAACAAGGATGGACCTAACCAGGCTGTCCAATTGCAATGGATAAGAATGGCCTAACCAGACTGTTCGACTTGGAAGTGGAAAGAACGACCCTAACCAGGTTGTTCGGAATGACCCCTGACAGGGTCATTCTTTGGAATTGGCACTGGGGACCCCTTGCACGGCTGCTTGAGATGCATGATATTGGAAGAGCTGAGCTTTGGAAAAGATATGGATGAGATATTGAGCTGAGTTTGAAAGAAGCATTGAGTCGAGCCTTGGGTAAGATTGGAAGAGCTGAGCCTTGGAAAGGATATTGGACTCAGCCTTGAAAAAGATATTGCATTGAGCACTGGACTGATATTGAGCATGGGAATGAGACTGAGCATTGGAATTGGATTGAACATTGGAAATTGCATTGCATAAACAGGGGACCCTAGGCAATCTGAAATGGACTTGGAAAGAGCCTTGAAATGAAACTTCTCTTCTTTCTAGTCCTTGGCCTCAGCAAGATGGGGACACCGGTGCATGCATCGCGACCCCAAGACCTCTATCCCCTTGAGGGAAAAAGTCTCAGCGTGACCCGTTCCTCTTCGAGAGGGTGAGTGTTAAAGGACTAAGGCACCTACCACTTGGATCGGTGCGGGACGTCCGGAACCACCTCCGACAATGAGCTCTAGTCGAGGAATTCCAACTGCGTCTCCTATTGAATGCCTAAATGTTAAAGGGCGAGAGAGCCAAATGGGCAGGAAAGTCATTCTCATCTAGTCTATTTTGCTACTCTCCAACCACACGCCATGTCATAGAAGGGTGGCATGGTCGTTTGGGTCGGACCACGGCTGCCCGCGCTAAGTTGGGCGGCACTGTCTAAGGGGAGAGGTCGGGCGAGGTACCGGGTGGAGTCCGCCACCACCACAGGGCATTGACACTGGAACATTACAACCGTTTCAGGACTAATTGTGAGGTCTTCGTAACTGCACTCGCGGACTGATCGAGAGCCCCAACTCTCTTAGAAGAAAGAGGCCGGAATCCAGAAAATCACCACTCGGGAGGAACGATTCGCGAGGAATGCTCTTACGGCTAGACGAGGCCCTGACAGGCTTGGATTGGACCTACCTGACAGACGCGGGGAGGAACCTCAGTATTGGTGCTCGCCACGTAAGAGAAGAAAGGTCGGACCGAGTAGAGGGATGAGGCGTCGTCCACTTAGGAGGAACTGATCACTCTTCCTTTTGTGAAGCGGATGGGCCTGTGTCCTTGACTTGCGGTTGGTGGCCAAAGGTTTCGTACCTCCGAGTGAGGACCAGTCGCGCGATGGGGACATTGCGTTTTGAGTGGGGGGAAGGTGTGCCATCTACCAATGAATACACATAGAAAAAAGACATGTATTTGGTTTTGCATGGGCTTGAGAAAAAGGGTCTGGCAAGACACCCAGAAAAGAAAAAGACTTGTAATTGGTTTTGCATAGGCCGGAGAAAAGGGGGTCTGGCAAGACGCCAGAGCAGAAAAGACTTGAGTAAGCGACATGGTATAGACTTGAGAAAATGGCTTGGCAAGATAGCCAGGAAGGAAAGGGTTGGTGTGATTGATTCTGCATAGACCCAGAAAAGGAATTGGCGGACTGAGAATTGGCTGTGTAATTGGTTCATATAAGCTCGAAAAGATGAGAAGTGGCTGAGGGGTGAGCCCAGCAATGCACATGGAGAATCAATTA